GGCAGATTTCACAACCATGTACACTAACCTGCCACATGATAGGATTCTTAACAATGTCCTAAATGCGGTTCGTGAAGCACATGATTACGCCTTGTTGCGTATCCCGCAGGGAAGAAGGCCAGTACAAATGTACATGACTGTAGGAGGTCCGCATCGCGGGGAGTGGGTTACTTCACATGGATCAGACACCCTTTCCATGTCAGAGATAGAACAGCATCTGCGGTTTGTGGTGTCGAACACTTATCTCTACACAAGGGATGGCACTCTGCGTCATCAGGTGGTAGGCATCCCTATGGGCACTAACGCTGGACCGGAAACGGCCAACCTTACGCTTTATTGGGACGAAGCACAGTTCATCGATGAATTACAACAGCAGGATCTACGCGCTGCGCAAACACATGCATTTACGTACCGATTCATTGATGACATCTTATCTTGGAAGACATTACCGCCCCCTCCTGCTCGATATGGTCTTGAGTGGAAGGACACTACTGAGCAAGATGGGTCGTGTGTTTTCCTTGGGGCAAGAATCCTATTTCGGCCGGATGGCTCACTTCGCATCGGCGTCTTTGATAAGGCTGAGGCCTGGACATTCCCTGTCATACGCTACCCCAGCGCTTCCTCTAATGCCCCAGCTCATCAGCCTGCAGGTGTGCTCACAGGGCAACTGACACGATTTGAACACATCTGCAACAATACTGCCGACTTTAAGGCTGCAATGACTTCCCTCGCACGACGAATGCTCATTAGAGGCCATCCCCCCAGTGTCCTGGCCAGAGGTTGGAATGCATACGTGCGCGGACGGCAGCGCCGGTTACCCACTCATGTTACACGACTTTCGAACTAGTTTCGGCGCATGGTACGCTGGGCAATTGCCCACCCACTCCCGAATGCAAATTCTGTTCGCAGGTCTTTCGCACAACCCCACGCAATAGGAAACATCCCGCAGCCCGACCAACATCAGCCCTCCACAGCTGAAATTCCAAATGCTAATGAGAATACGCCAACTCGACAGGAGACCGGACCAATCGCAACAAATTTGGCCGAAGTGGCTGCAAGGGAGGAGGGCCAGCATCCTACGAATACGGTGGCAGTTCCACTGCCGCCATCGCCGCCATCACCACCTCTGCCAACACCACCGCCATCATCATCACCACGACTGCCCCCTGCCCTATCACCACCACCCTCCCCACCACCTTCAGCACCACTATCGCAGCCGCCGTCGCTGCCAGCATCATCGTCATCAACCTCAACATCACCATCACCATCATCACATTCATGGTCGGATCAGCTACGACAAAGGCCCAGTCGGCGGACGCGTATGACATTGGACCAACCATTGCAGATGCCTCTTCGGCGGGTCCATTCTCCGTCTCCACCGCCGTCCCCAAGACAGCGGCCTCGTCTAGCCGTGAACAACTTGATCACCGCGCCTCCAACGGCTACTAGAGATTTGCTCCGCCGACATGCTCGCAACCGTTCGGAACGACAGCGTCGCCTTCGATACACACTAGCCAGGAATAGTACACGCTGAGTCCGATGCCCGCAATGTGGGGATGATTTCTTCAGTGCTGCAGGCCT